CAGGCATCTGATGGCAGCTGAGATCCCCAGTGTCAAACCTGACATCTTAATCATAGTATGTAATAAATGAATCATGTTTAAAGTTTATGATTCAAATGAAACATTCTTTTTTAATGGCTCTTCAGGTGATCAAACACATGGCAAATGCTGTTATTTTTTTTTATCTCTGAAGGAGTCAACTTATGGCACCCACATTCATGAAAAGAGGGAGGAACGTGAAGCTCGGTTCTGTAACACAGTCCATGACATTGTCAACAGAGAAGGTCGCTGTTTAATCCCTGTGTTCGCCTTAGGACGGGCCCAAGAACTGCTGCTCATCCTGGGTGAGAAGTCATGCATGACTCCCTGCTCTGGATTTTGTCTATAAATAGCTAGTTTCACCAAAATCTAACAACACTGTTTGCCGCGATGCTATCATTTTTTACTGGTGCAACATCTTCATCCGAGTCACAAATTCACTGCATTTTACTTATTATTATGTATTATTATTATGTATTATTTATTACTTATGTATTTCATTTATTTAATATATAATGTAAATCTTACCTAATTTAAATAATTTATTTTCTTTGAATAAATCAATTAAATCTAATTTCAAGTAATTGATTCATTTTATTTAAATCATTTAAATCATTTTAATTGATTCAACATATTCATTAGTTTTCTTTAATTAAAGGGATTTTTTCTCAAATTAATTTAATTAATTTGACTCAAAGTAATTTAATTCAGTAAATTTAATCTAAAACATTTGTACACTTCACTACATACTGTATATTATGAGTCTGGACAGACATGGATGTAAACTGCAACTTGACTGGTGCAAGGTGGAAATTCCAGTTTTTAAAGTTAGCTTTTTGCATCTTTAGTACATTATCTGTCTATCAGTCAGAGAGTCTGTGAGGTTGTGGTTTTTTCCCCTCTAGATGAGTACTGGCAAAACCACCCAGAGCTGCACGACATCCCCATCTACTATGCTTCATCCCTGGCCAAGAAGTGCATGGCTGTGTACCAGACCTACGTCAACGCAATGAACGACAAGATCCGCAAGGCCATAAATATCAACAATCCTTTTGTCTTCAAGCACATCAGCAACCTCAAGGTGGAGAGCTCCACAAATACACAAACCCAAACTGTTACTATATGCCTTTGGTCTAAAAGCTGCTGAAGAACTGTAACTGTGTTGTTTCCAGAGCATGGATCATTTCGATGACATCGGTCCCAGTGTGGTGATGGCGTCTCCAGGTATGATGCAGAGTGGACTCTCCAGAGAGCTCTTTGAGAGCTGGTGCACTGATAAGAGGAACGGAGTCATCATCGCTGGATACTGTGTGGAGGGCACACTGGCCAAGGTCAGAGCGGAGAGTGATGTGTTGTTTTGGGTTAATAATAGAAAGATTCATCTAGTGTCTTGGATAAAAGTTCAGTCATTTACATCCGTTTTATGGTCATCTAACCTTAAATTTGTTTTATTCTATTGAAACAATTAATGTGTCGCTACAGCAGCTTATTGTGTTATTGGGTGCAACCTGCAGCACATCATGTCTGAGCCGGAGGAGATCACCACCATGTCGGGACAGAAGCTGCAGCTGAAGATGTCAGTGGACTACATCTCCTTCTCTGCCCACACAGACTACCAGCAGACCAGCGAGTTCATCAGGGCACTCAAACCACCACATGTGGTAGGAGAAAAAAGAAGTCTATTGTTTTTTTTTTCAGCTGTAAATATAAATGTTGACTGCAAATTGATGTCTGCATGTTTATCCTCAGATCCTGGTCCATGGAGAGCAAAATGAGATGGCCCGTCTGAAGGCTGCACTGATCAGGGAGTATGAGGATAATGACCAGGTTCACATCGAAGTCCACAACCCTCGCAACACAGAAGCGGTCACCCTCAACTTCAGAGGAGAGAAACTGGCCAAGGTCAACAAACTGCCTTGTGTCTCTGTCTTATTATTCCTCTCTATTAAGGTTTTTAATTAGCTTTTTATGGCTTGTAGCCACTGTGGGCTCCTTCTAGCTTTAAAATGCTGCTAAGTCGTGGTTATTGCACGCATTAGATAACACTGCTGCTGTCGTTATATGTGTTAGCGCATAAATCCACTCTTCAGAATGACATTTGCATCTAACTTCACTTTTGCCCCCTCTCTCTCTCAGGTGATGGGCTCTCTGGCTGATAAGAAGTGTGCTCAGGGTCAGAGGGTGTCGGGCATACTGGTGAAGAAGAACTTCAACTACCACATCCTCAATCCCTCTGACCTATCCAGTAAGTAGCTTTCATCTCTCCCAAATTCTCCAACCACCTGAACACTGGTAGCAGTGCCTATGTTCAGGTAGATCAAGGACGGTTTTCTGTCAGGTCTCTGCGAATCAAAACCTAATAGATGTGGTTCCAATTTTCTTCTGGAAAATGTACAGAACTTGGGAGATCAGAGATGCTGATCTGAATCTATGACAGATTTGTTGTCTTGCACTAGGGCACTCCAGAGCAAAAGAGTCTCCCCTATTCAGTTGCGCATTATGCTTCAAGCTGAAGTGAGCTGATGTGTCTGTTTTGCAGCATACACGGAGCTGTCCATGAGCACAGTGAAACAGACCCAGGCCATCCCCTTCACTGGACCTTACTCACTGCTCGTCTGCCATCTGAGGAACCTCACTGGTAAGACAGGCCATGTTAGTTGCATGTGTACTAAGTGATCAGTCACTTTGCAAATTGATAAATATTATATGTAAACTTTTGGAAATGTATGTTATCGTTCCATTTATGCAAAGTACAACTGTTTTCAGCGCCAGCAAGTTTATCCCAAAATAAGTGTCTGTATTTTGTGTCTCAGGGGATGTTGAAGAGCTGGATGGAACCGAGAAGAACACTTTGAAGCTCTTTAAAAATATCATTCTGATCCAAGAGGCTGGCATGGTGCTGCTGGAGGTGAGCGGTCAGGTTGTCCTGCTCAGTCTGGTGCAGGGTAGCTCTAATCTGCTCTGTTTAGACTGATGTCGGTCCAACCCTACAGTGTGTCATTTTTATGAATTCAGTTGCGCTCACAGGAATTCATGCAGAGTCCAACACAAGAAGACTTGTTATTGTCACTCCCTGCTGGTTCTGTGGCACCACTGCACTGCATTTTTATTTATTTTTTTTTTACAGCTATTGAGCCTCAGACCTACAATTAGGCTGTGACATAGGCAGATTCAAAGTGTTAAGAAATCGCTATCAGACCTTATTTGAATGTTGAGTAGTATTTCAATTGCATTGGCAAGAACAGATACCTAGTAAATACTTGATTTGGAGAAGATTTATTTAAAAAAAAAAAAACCACAAAAAATATGATGAATCCCAGAGGTAAGAAAGAACCTCTACTGTCTATAAATGTCTCAATCAACTCAACCCTTCTCCTGTTTCAGTGGATAGCTAACCCTCTGAATGACATGTATGCTGATGCTGTCACCACAGTAGTGCTGGAAGTCCAGTCGAACCCAAAGGCTCAGAAAGGTCAGTTTGTCCAGCTACGAATATCTATCCATGCTTTTGGTTTTGAATGTTTTTTTTTACCTGTAAGAATTGTGTAAACTCATTTCCTGTATTACTGTCACCCAAAAAGTGTAGTGCTACTTCAGTGATTCACTTTGTTTTTCATTAACAGTCATGGAGACCCAGAGTGCCATTATGGACATGGACGTCTTTCATACCCGACTAGAGGTCATGCTGCAGTGAGTGCTACAATATATCTGTACTAACTTGTTGATAGCATTGTATACATGGCAAAACTGCACAATATAAAACTTTAATAGAAATGAAATTGCTCACATATACAGTTCTTTTATTAACATTGAGCTCTAGTCTTCATTTGTCCACTTTCTGTCTTCAGGGACATGTTTGGAGAGGAATGTGTGGATTTCAGGGATGGTAAAAATATCTCTGTGACAGTAGATGGGAAGACAGTTCACATCTGCTTGGAAACGAGGGTGAGAAGCTTTTAGCCTGACACACTGACAAACAGAATAATGGATTTAGTGCAGTAATTTTTTTTTTTTTCTCATTTTCACTGACTTTCTCTCCCCTCCTCAGTCTGTGTGCTACGAGGATGAATGCACAGAGGACGACTCTCTGAGAGAGATGGTGGAGCTGGCAGTGCAGCGGCTCTATGACGCCCTCAACCCAGTCATCTGAGAACAGAGACAGGACTGCAGTCCACATGTTCAATACCAGTTAGACAGACGAAAGTTAATAAGCAGCTTTTATTTGTGAGCGAAACACTGAAAATAACATGTGCACCTAAGGATCACAGTGACTTGTCTATCTGATAGATTAGTCTGACGTCCATGTTTCTACACTACCGGGATCTATAGAGTTTTTAGCTCATTCTTGTATCACACATACATTTGACAAATCACTCACAATGTAACTTGCCTGGTCTGTTTTGGTGTAATCAAAAGCCTTGGCAGCCAATCGCACTCCCACCTTGTGAATTCTATCTGAAAAGACTAGATTGGCCTTTTACTAATTAAGAGAACATTAAGGAGAGTTCCTGATCTGTGACCATAGAGACACCATCTAAGGGAAGGAAATAAATAAGCTATTGTATGTAGATAGGATTTTTTTAAATAAGATTTTAGTGTTGTTTTTTGTCTTGCAAGCACTTTTAATTATATTTAATAAGTTAACTGTATTTAAGTTTAAATGCACCGAAGCTTTTGTTTGACATGAGTTTGTTACTAATGTGCACTGATAGGACTGACTTGTGTTTACTTATAACTGTGATGTGAACTGTGAACTTCTAAATGCACTACATCTCTGTGTTCATTGTATAATGTTTCAACAAAAATGTTTTATAAAAATGTGTGAGTCAGTTATGGTGTCAGCTCTTTTCTTCTTTTAAAATTCAGTTGGCATTATTTTGAAGTTTTAAATCAGTGTTAGCCTTAATGACTGAGGGGATTGGTACATACATATCAACAAAAACAGAAGACCCAAGCAACATTTATTTCACTGTGCTCTCACAGTTACGGATCATAAGTCATTTATTTGTTAAATATCTGGACAATATAACCACAGATTTTTAAAATAAATATTATCCAAGGCACATTGTTTAACTTAACTATCTGAGCATAAACTTACAGTTCCTGAATTCCCATTTAACAGGCTCTCTGATCTGATATCCCTTACATTGCTATAAATATTTCATACATAGCAATAAACCCTAATCAAAACTCATGTCACCATTAAAAATATAGACATCTGCTGGACAGATGGCTTTATAAAAGCAAAAGAAGTTGAACTGTGGCACTCCTGGGTTGTAAATCAACCACTGAATCTTCCTCTATCAGCATGTGATGGCATGCTGACAACATGCTTGGCACAGTGGGGAATTACTGTTGGGTGTCACGCTGACTGTGTGACTGACCAACTGATTGACAAAGACTTCACCACCAAGCAAAGAAAAAAAAAAACCATAATGAAACTGGTGACACACACAGATTTATCCAATGTTTGTTTTACAGAAAAACCAATGAATACTGTAGTGTACTTGTCCTGTGGTACATTCTCGTTTATATGTTCATTTAGGACTGCAATTATAGATTATTCTCAGTGTTGATTGATCATTTGTTCTAAAAATGCCCAAAGCAACCTAATTTGATTGTTTTTTTTCTTCAACTAATAGTCCTAAACCCAACAATATTAAGCTTAATGTAACAAGACAACAAAAGGCAGGAAATTCTCACATTTGTTTGACATTTGTTCTTGTTACTTGAAAATGACTTGTGACATGACAATTGATTATCAATCTAGATGCCAATTCATTTTCTGGAGATTAACTGTTACAACAGCTCCATGCATGTACCAGTTTAGTCTTTGGTTTGCATCTTACAGGAGGACAGTGTGATCTATAGGAAATTGCACTGTGTCACAGTGAACCAAACGATGATGGTGTTTCGTGTCTGCTTTGGTGAGGGGATTGAGGTGATCATAAGTCTGGTGCTCAGTGTTGCCCCTAGTAGTGTGAAAGGTGGTGATAGTTTAGGGGCCCCACAGTGGGTGGGACAACATTCCTCCAATCCACATCCACCTGTACTTCACCCCCGTTTTAAGCTGATCATTATACCCACAGCCATTGCCAGCAGCACCCCTACACATATCTCCGTCAACTTGCCCAGCTTCTTCTCGGCCATCGCCTCCTGTTTCTCCCTGAGCATCTCCTCTTTGCGGACTCGGATGTCTCTTTGTTTCTGCAGCTGCTCGTTGTAGTGGGACTTGAAAAACTTGTCGAAATCGAAGACGCCTTCTCGGATGTCGGCGCCCACTACAGACCGCCGGCTTTCAGTTTGCTGTTTCGCGGGGCTCCCTGCGCTGTCCTTGGCGGAGGGTCTGGCCGTTGCAACGAGGTCCGACTGGCTGAGCAGCCCCCGGTCATATTTCTTCCTCAGTGCCTTGTTTCCCAGCACCGTGTAGGCCTCGCTGATCTCAGAGAAGCGGATAGTGGCCTCCTCGCTGCCGGCGTTTCTGTCTGGGTGGTAGACGAAGGACTGCTTGTAGTAGGCTGTTTTTATCTGTGCTTGAGTAGCTGTAGGCATCACCTCCAGGATTTCATAATAGCCTGTTTTGGTTTTGTACAGCGGTTCAGAGCGAGTCCCGTTTCCGCTGAAATCCCTGATGAACACAAACTGTCCGTGACACCAACACAAACACCGCTTGTAGGGGCTGGAGGTGCAGAAAGTCCTCTGAAACTTGGCGTTACTCCGGCACCGAGGGAGGTTTCTTTCTACAACTTTAATTTGGGTCTTGTTAGAACGTGTATACTCTTTAAGCCCCCGATAATAGTAATATTCAGAGGCATTTCCCTTTCTCAAAATATCGTTATAAGCATCAAGCACCGGTGTTACTGTTGTGTAATTGTCCCGTAAAGCTACACCGGTCACTGCGTCCGCAACACTTTTGGCTCCATGCAATTCGCTATTGTTAATGTCACCTGACATAAATCTTGCCGACAGAGACGAAATATGTATTGTACCGTTACCTCGCTTCTTCGGTCTTTCCAGGACATGCCAATTGTATATTTTGTGTACATAGTCATAAGCTCCCTTCCCAAAACGATGTCTGACCTCCGCCATGTTTACAGGGGGCGAAGAAGAGAATTTATATCCGTGTAGCTGAGGAAAGCTTCCGTACCTGCAGCGCCCCAAGTGGTGAGTACAAAGAAGTAAACTCAAAGGTTACATGATAGAAATTAAGCAATACCTGGATTTCTGCCTGTTTCTTCAACTATTTACCAAAGTTTTTGTTTCAGTATTTTTACTATTATTATTATACGCGACACATACAGCAGAGTTTTGTAATTATATGAAGTATCAGACCAAGTGAAAGGAAGACATTATACACAGAAATAGGAAAGACAAAACAAATAAACTAAAACAACAGGAAGGGTTCTAACCACCAAGGAGTTTATTATTATTATTGTCTGCCACTCTGGCTCAAATTCCCATGAGTTGGAATGAGCTAGAAACACAAAACTTGGACCACTAAAGTACACCTATATAGATTTTTTGATAATTTGCATAATTTGAAAAACAGTAAAATTAATAGAACTTTATGAATTTTGAGATTAGCAACACTAAATTTGGTATACAGCCTTATGAGCCAAAAATACAAATTAATATTTTAAATGATCAAGATCAGTCCAAAAACATGGCCACCATCAACCAAAATATCTGCACAAAGTGTGGGGCTTAGATAAAAACGTCATAGTATAATAAGGCATAAAAAAGCATAAAAACGTTATAGTATAGTAAGGCATAAAAAGTCATAAAAGCATCATAGTATAATAAGGCATAAAAATTACATAGTATAGTAAAGCATAAAAGGTCATAGAAATGACAGTAAAGTAAGGAATGAAAAGTCATAAAAACGTCATACGATAATGAGGCATAAAATTCATAAAAATGACAGTATAGTATGGCATAAAAAGTCATAAAAGCATCATAGTATAGTAAGTCATAAAAATGTTATAGCATCGTAAGACATAAAAAGTCATAAAAACGTCATAATATAATAAAGCAAACAATTCATAGTATAGTAAGGCATAAAAAGTCATAGTATAGTAAGGCATAAAAAGTCATAAAAATGTCATAGTATAATAAGGCATAAAAAGTCATAGTATACTTAAGCAAAAAATTCATAAAAACATGACAGTATAATAAGGCATAAAAAGTCATAGTATACTAAGGCAAAAAAGTAATAAAAAAACGTCATGGTTTAGTAAGGCAAAAAAAGTCATAAATAGACATAGTATAATAAGGCATAAATAGTCATAGAAAATGTCATAGTATAAAAAGTCATAAAAATATCATAGTATAATAAGGTATAAAAAGTCATAGTATACTCAGGCATAAAAAGTCATAAAAACATCATAGTACAGTAAGGCAAAAAAGGCAAAAAAATGTCATAGTATAGTAAGGCATAAAAAGTCACAAAAATGTCATAGTATAATAGGGCATAAAAAGTCATAGTCTACTAAGGCAAAAAAGCAATAAAAAAACGTCATGGTTTAGTAAGGCAAAAAAGTCATAAATAGACATAGTATAGTAAGGCAAAAAAAGTCATGAAAATGTCATAGTATAAAAAGTCATAAAAATATCATAGTATAATAAGGTATAAAACGTCATAGTATAATGAGGCATAAAAGAGTCAGAAAAAAGTGATAGAGTAGTAAGGCATAAAAATGTCATAGTATAGTAAGGTAAAAAAAAGTAATAAAAAGACATAGTATAGTAAGGCAAAAAAAGTCATGAAAATGTCATAGTATAATAAGGCATAAATAGTCATAAAAAATGTCATAGTATAAAAAGTCATAAAAATATCATAGTATAATAAGGTATAAAAAGTCATAGTATACTCTGGCATAAAAAGTCATAAAAACATCATAGTACAGTAAGGCAAAAAAGGCAAAAAAATGTCATAGTATAGTAAGGCATAAAAAGTCACAAAAATGTCATAGTATAATAGGGCATAAAAAGTCATAGTATACTAAGGCAAAAAAGTAATAAAAAAACGTCATGGTTTAGTAAGGCAAAAAAGTCATAAATAGACATAGTATAGTAAGGCAAAAAAGGCAAAAAAACGTCATCGTATAATAAGGCAAAAAAAAGTCATGAAAACGTCATAGTACAGTAAGGCATAAAAAGTCATAGTATACTAAGGCAAAAAAGTAATAAAAAAACATCATGGTTTAGTAAGGCAAAAAAAGTCATAAATAGACATAGTATAGTAAGGCAAAAAAAGTCATGAAAATGTCATAGTATAATAAGGCATAAATAGTCATAAAAAATGTCATAGTATAAAAAGTCATAAAAATATCATAGTATGATAAGGTATAAAACGTCATAGTATAATGAGGCATAAAAGAGTCAGAAAAAAGTGATAGAGTAGTAAGGCATAAAAATGTCATAGTATAGTAAGGTAAAAAAAAGTAATAAAAAGACATAGTATAGTAAGGCAAAAAAAAGTCATGAAAATGTCATAGTATAATAAGGTATAAATAGTCACAAAAATGTCATAGTATAAAAAGTCATAAAAATATCGTAGTATAATAAGGTATAAAAAGTCATAGTATACTCTGGCATAAAAAGTCATAAAAACATCATAGTACAGTAAGGCAAAAAAGGCAAAAAATGTCATAGTATAGTAAGGCATAAAAAGTCACAAAAATGTCATAGTATAATAGGGCATAAAAAGTCATAGTCTACTAAGGCAAAAAAGCAATAAAAAAACGTCATGGTTTAGTAAGGCAAAAAAGTCATAAATAGACATAGTATAGTAAGGCAAAAAAAGTCATGAAAATGTCATAGTATAATAAGGCATAAATAGTCATAAAAAATGTCATAGTATAAAAAGTCATAAAAATATCATAGTATAATAAGGTATAAAAAGTCATAGTATACTCAGGCATAACAAGTCATAAAAACATCATAGTACAGTAAGGCAAAAAAGGCAAAAAATGTCATAGTATAGTAAGGCATAAAAAGTCACAAAAATGTCATAGTATAATAGGGCATAAAAAGTCATAGTCTACTAAGGCAAAAAAGCAATAAAAAAACGTCATGGTTTAGTAAGGCAAAAAAGTCATAAATAGACATAGTATAGTAAGGCAAAAAAAGTCATGAAAATGTCATAGTATAATAAGGCATAAATAGTCATAAAAAATGTCATAGTATAAAAAGTCATAAAAATATCATAGTATAATAAGGTATAAAACGTCATAGTATAATGAGGCATAAAAGAGTCAGAAAAAAGTGATAGAGTAGTAAGGCATAAAAATGTCATAGTATAGTAAGGTAAAAAAAAGTAATAAAAAGACATAGTATAGTAAGGCAAAAAAAGTCATGAAAATGTCATAGTATAATAAGGCATAAATAGTCATAAAAAATGTCATAGTATAAAAAGTCATAAAAATATCATAGTATAATAAGGTATAAAAAGTCATAGTATACTCTGGCATAAAAAGTCATAAAAACATCATAGTACAGTAAGGCAAAAAAGGCAAAAAATGTCATAGTATAGTAAGGCATAAAAAGTCACAAAAATGTCATAGTATAATAGGGCATAAAAAGTCATAGTCTACTAAGGCAAAAAAGCAATAAAAAAACGTCATGGTTTAGTAAGGCAAAAAAGTCATAAATAGACATAGTATAGTAAGGCAAAAAAAGTCATGAAAATGTCATAGTATAATAAGGCATAAATAGTCATAAAAAATGTCATAGTATAAAAAGTCATAAAAATATCATAGTATAATAAGGTATAAAAAGTCATAGTATACTCAGGCATAACAAGTCATAAAAACATCATAGTACAGTAAGGCAAAAAAGGCAAAAAATGTCATAGTATAGTAAGGCATAAAAAGTCACAAAAATGTCATAGTATAATAGGGCATAAAAAGTCATAGTCTACTAAGGCAAAAAAGCAATAAAAAAACGTCATGGTTTAGTAAGGCAAAAAAGTCATAAATAGACATAGTATAGTAAGGCAAAAAAAGTCATGAAAATGTCATAGTATAATAAGGCATAAATAGTCATAAAAAATGTCATAGTATAAAAAGTCATAAAAATATCATAGTATAATAAGGTATAAAACGTCATAGTATAATGAGGCATAAAAGAGTCAGAAAAAAGTGATAGAGTAGTAAGGCATAAAAATGTCATAGTATAGTAAGGTAAAAAAAAGTAATAAAAAGACATAGTATAGTAAGGCAAAAAAAAGTCATGAAAATGTCATAGTATAATAAGGTATAAATAGTCACAAAAATGTCATAGTATAAAAAGTCATAAAAATATCGTAGTATAATAAGGTATAAAAAGTCATAGTATACTCAGGCATAAAAAGTCATAAAAACATCATAGTACAGTAAGGCAAAAAAGGCAAAAAAAGTCATAGTATAGTAAGGCATAAAAAGTCACAAAAATGTCATAGTATAATAGGGCATAAAAAGTCATAGTCTACTAAGGCAAAAAAGCAATAAAAAAACGTCATGGTTTAGTAAGGCAAAAAAGTCATAAATAGACATAGTATAGTAAGGCAAAAAAAGTCATGAAAATGTCATAGTATAATAAGGCATAAATAGTCATAAAAAATGTCATAGTATAAAAAGTCATAAAAATATCATAGTATAATAAGGTATAAAAAGTCATAGTATACTCAGGCATAACAAGTCATAAAAACATCATAGTACAGTAAGGCAAAAAAGGCAAAAAATGTCATAGTATAGTAAGGCATAAAAAGTCACAAAAATGTCATAGTATAATAGGGCATAAAAAGTCATAGTCTACTAAGGCAAAAAAGCAATAAAAAAACGTCATGGTTTAGTAAGGCAAAAAAAGTCATAAATAGACATAGTATAGTAAGGCAAAAAAAGTCAAGAAAATGTCATAGTATAATAAGGCATAAATAGTCATAAAAAATGTCATAGTATAAAAAGTCATAAAAATATCATAGTATAATAAGGTATAAAACGTCATAGTATAATGAGGCATAAAAGAGTCAGAAAAAAGTGATAGAGTAGTAAGGCATAAAAATGTCATAGTATAGTAAGGTAAAAAAAAGTAATAAAAAGACATAGTATAGTAAGGCAAAAAAAAGTCACAAAAATGTCATAGTATAATAAGGTATAAATAGTCACAAAAATGTCATAGTATAATAAGGTATAAATAGTCACAAAAATGTCATAGTATAATAAGGTATAAATAGTCACAAAAATGTCATAGTATAATAAGGTATAAATAGTCACAAAAATGTCATAGTATAATAAGGTATAAATAGTCACAAAAATGTCATAGTATAATAAGGTATAAATAGTCACAAAAATGTCATAGTATAATAAGGTATAAATAGTCACAAAAATGTCATAGTATAATAAGGTATAAATAGTCACAAAAATGTCATAGTATAATAAGGTATAAATAGTCACAAAAATGTCATAGTATAATAAGGTATAAATAGTCACAAAAATGTCATAGTATAATAAGGTATAAATAGTCACAAAAATGTCATAGTATAATAAGGTATAAATAGTCACAAAAATGTCATAGTATAATAAGGTATAAATAGTCACAAAAATGTCATAGTATAGTAGGGCATAAAAAGTCATAGTCTACTAAGGCAAAAAAGCAATAAAAAAACGTCATGGTTTAGTAAGGCAAAAAAAGTCATAGTACACTAACGAAAAAAAAGTCATAAAAACGTAATGGTATAGTCATAAAAAGTCATAATACAGTAAGGCAAAAAAAGTCATGAAAACGTCATAGTGTAGTAAGGCATAAAAAGACATAGTATAATAAGGCATAAAAAGTCACAGTTTAGAAAGGCATTAAAAGTCATAAAAACGTCATCGTATAGTAAGGCAAAAAATCATCATAGTATAATAAGGAAAAAGAAATGTCATGGTATAGTAAGACATAAAAAGTCATTGTATAGTAAGGCATAAAACCGTAACAGTGTAGTAAGGCATAAATTCCACACAGAAAGGCCATAGGCCTGGGAAGTGATAGTATAATGTGCATAAAACATTATTATATAGTTAGGCATAAAAAGTCATAGTATAGTATGGCATATAAAAGTCATACTTTTATAAGGTGTTATAGTCATATAGTAGTGCACGTGCAGGTGTTTAACAGCTAAAATGTGAAGAATTCTGCAGTCTACCAGACATTCTAACCCATAAAACCCCCTGATATACTGTATCAGATATGAATACATGTACAAATAATAGATAAAAGACCTGTCAAATCTTGGTATGAACTCAGAGCAGTGTCAGAGATAATCGTATATATATTTGATTCTATCGTTTCTGAATCGAACAAGTAAAAAAAAATCATGATGTTAAGACTTTTATTGTGAAGTATAGTAATAAGTTCCCTCCCAACAGGAACTTCCGTATACACTGTGTTCGTTAGTTTCTACTTATAGCCTCATGATGTCTAAGTTCAAAACCGTAACTTGGCCTAAAGTGATTTTATTTGGCGACTCCATCACACAGGTTAGCTCATACATTAATATTTTACATTTAACAGAGTGAGAATATTCATTTTTCTGCTCTCTCGGTTAGTTAGCATTAGCTGCTAGCCTGTTAACGTCGGCTTGAAATTGGTAAAACACTGCTGTTGTTTCTTTCAGTTTTCATTTCAACCCAATGGATGGGGTGCAGAAATTGCGGACAAATTAGCAAGGTAAGCAGTTCCCATACGTCTGATTATATCCTTTTTACATTACTTTAGCAGCTCTCCAGAGTTATGGGCAGAAATGGCACTTCAGTGATTTTTCTTTTTTTTTGCATGCAAGTCAGGCTAGCAACCAAACTGATGTTCTGTTTTCTAATAGCTGAACGTGACATTGTGTGTTTTCCTTTCAGAAAGTGTGATGTTGTAAACAGAGGACTGTCTGGCTACAACTCCAAATGGGGTAAGATTGTTCTTCCTCGCCTCATCAACAGCCAGAGCTCAGCAGACAACAACATAGCTGCTGTCACTGTCTTCTTTGGAGCCAACGACTGTTCACTGGAAGGTACAGTCTCACTGACACAATATGTAATGACAATTTAACAAGTTTAGTAATGATAAATAGTTTTGTTGCAACCTATCTGTAAGAATAAATCTCTTTACTTTTCTTTTAGTCATGACTGGGAGTGATAAAAGGATTATGTGGCTCAGGTGGAGAATAACCATAGTGATATCACCAGATAACATGTCCCGATTCTATACATACATTATGAAAGTGGAACACTAAGTTGCTGGAGTACCACTTAAGTTGTTTCCAAATGTCACACACTGCAGATTTAAAGCTTTAGTAAACTAGAAACTGTTCTTCTTGAGGCTATCCAAAATCACTGTTCCTCTCACTATGTCACATAAAAATACTGTCACTGATAATTTATCATTTACGTCTAATGTTTCTGTATGGTTTTCCCTGTCCTGTCCTGCAGATAAAAACCCCCAACAGCACATCCCTCTGCAGGAGTATTCAGAGAACCTGAAGGAGATCACCCGCTTTCTGGCTTCAGCTGGAGTGTCAGCAGACAAAGTTATCTTCATCACCCCCCCACCTATCCATGAACCAGCCTGGGAGAAGCAGTGCATTTTGAAAGGTAACACATGTGCACAAATTCTTCGTCTCTCTATATTGTCACTCAGACAGTTTTTAGACACCAGGCCTGAATGCCTCTTTGCGTCTCTTCCAGGATTTTCTCTCAATCGCCACAACTCTGTAGCGGGGCAGTATGCCCAGGCGTGTGTTCAGGCTGCTAGTCAGTGTGGCACAGATGTCCTGGACCTCTGGACACTCATGCAGAAAGATGGACAGGTGAACACAGTGCATCAGTATTGCTTGCTACTGCCCCTCCCTGTCAAAAATGTTGCCATATAAGCTTTCATATGACCAAATTTTCATTGCTTTGTTTGTTATTTTTGGTTTGTTTTTTGTAGTGTAAGAGAAGTAATTTCAATATTTGTTGAATGGCATATTATATTTCTAAAGAAATATATACATTAAATATAGTGTCCTTTTAATGTTTAGAGTCAGGCTGATTAGTCCATTGACCGAAAATTCTCAACAGCTGTGAGTCACTGGAGTCATTTATCAAGCAATAATGCTTAACATTTTGCTGTGTCTGACTCCAAAATATGATAATTTGCTGCTTTCTTCTGTTTCATATCATAGTAAATTAAATATCTTTGGGATTTTTTTTTTTGCTAAACTATTAATCAACTGCTCATATAAATAATCAACAGATTACCTTCTAATAAAAATAATTATTAGTTACAGCCATGGCTCAGAGTAGTTTTATATTTTCAGAAAAATAACAAATGTCTTTTGATCCACAGGACTACACAGTCTACTTGTCTGACGGATTACATCTCTCAGAGAAGGGAAACCAGTTTGTGGCCCAGCACCTGTGGGGGCTGCTGGAGAGCCGAGTGGCCAACCTGCCCTTCATTCTGCCTTACTGGGGAGACGTGGACGCCAAGAGCCCTGAGAGCAGCCTCCTCTGTGACCAGTGAAAACAGTTAAGAAAAAATATTCTGGCCTGGGCATTTTGTCGAGAGCCTGACACTGGACTGAATTCCTGCTACTAAACAATGAAGCAGCTCTGATTTGTATTTGCCAGGTATGTGCAATACAAGATCATGTATTAATGTTAAAAAATGCATAAAATGCATAATAAAGATTTTTATTTTGAGATGTGCATAGGTAATGCAAGCAAGAAACTTATAAAAATGAACATATGGGTGAATATTTAAAAGCAAAGAAACAATGAGAAAATATACACATCATTAGAACACAGGGCACAGAACATCTGCTCATTGTGTAACAGTTCACATCCATCAAGTTGAGCCCATGTTAGCTACACAGTCTTCTTTTTACTGACGTACAGTTAAATAGTTATTTAACAAATTTAATGTGACAAAACAGGCAACAGTGGTTAGACAGCATTAAATAAGAGAAAGGTACTATAACTCACATTGGCACAAGGACACAAAACTAAGTGGAAAAATAACATTAGAGCACCTCGGGCAGTTTCTTTTAAAAATTAAAATCAGGATTGTTCGGATTCATGTTCATCTTCAGGGAATATTCTTGTCTTTTTGCACAGAAATAGGTCAGAACAGTCAGGCACAACATCTGAAAAGGCACCATGTTGTTTCATACAGGGACCAACCACGCAGAAAAAATACACAACAAATAAATAACCAACACTAATGTTCTCTCCAAGTTTCACCAGTTGGTCAAATAGAATAAGTGTAATGCTGAAGAGACTACCACTCCATCACTTGCACAGTAAAAGAAACCATTAATGACACAGCCCAGTATATTTTACATTTTATATGTATAAAACTTAATTCAACTCTCTGGTGATATGAAGAATACTTCAAGTGCCATTATGACACAGATTCATGATAAATCAGTCATCTTATAAGTCAAGTTCAATGTCCACCTGCTTAAACATATCACACTGAAATGTTTCCTTAGAGCAAATCTGTGAGGTTGCACTGCAAGACAATACATGGTGCACAAGCATATACTGGTCAAAAGACAAGGTTGACACTGACATACTTTTGCTGACACTGCTTTTTTTTTTTTTCCTTATGGTCCACAATCAAAGCTCACTTCAGTTAAACAGGGCACACTGGCAACACAGCAGATACAGCCTTGGAATCAATGTGATAATTTTTGTTCTTGAGAAAAAATGTACATAATCAGAAACCCATTTAGCCGCTGGGTTATCACATAAAGATAAGTGAGCTCTAGGATGTGTTTGAGGAACCGACCGATTTTTCAGGCATCATCTGGACAAGGATATCATCTACCCAACTAAAAAAGGCACAGCATCATTTCATGCAGGCACACAAAAACGTGAAATCACTCAGTAACTATTTTTCTGCAGTCATGGGGATTTGAGACTACTCATGCATTAGTTATAGTGATTAAATCCAAGTTACAGCTGACTGAGTAATATCCACATCTAGTGTTGCCTGAAATCCTGAAATGTTGTCCGTGGCTCTGTTAAACACCAAATCTGACCTACAAAATTTGTATGCTATTGCCTCTAAACAGTTGCTGTCTGTGACTTGTGATAAGAAAAAAGCCAATAATGCTGCTTATATTAGCATGTTCCGTAAAACAAATACCAGGATGCATGTACATGTTGGTGCTGGTTGTTTACTCTCAGCACTCGGTCTCTTTAGTGTCAATGCAGTCCTGCCTCTTGAGGCGCCGCCGGTCCCTGGCTGGTGGGTTCTGTTCTGTCAGATCCTCGTAGGAGGATTTCGTAGCCGACGAGCAGGCTCCGGCGGTTGTGAAATCGTCCGACAGGCCCTCCTCTCCCAGGTGAGAGTCGCTGCTGGTGTCCTCCTGGATGGTGGCCATCCGCAGCCCCCCTGCGCTGTCCGGGGTGGGGCCGTAGCTCGGGCCAGGGGCCGGGGTACTGCTGTTGCTGCTGCTGCTGCTGCTGCTGGATGCAGAAGTGCCCCCGACCTGGCTCAGCTGATGAGGCTGCTGGGGCAGGGAGGAGGGCGCGGTCCGGCCGGCGAAGGAGAAGGGAGGCTGAGGAGGCTTGACGATGCGCATGGACGTTGACTCGAGGTTGCTCAGCATTTCTTGACTCTGAAGAGCAAAAACATGTGAGACAGAAGCACATCAAAGCTGCCTGTCTCTGACTGAGGTGAGATTCATTCCCTTTTTACTACACTGATAAAATTAGAGTATAAGATATTTATCACAATCCTTACAGTTTAACATTGTGACTGACAGTAGTTTTATTATAATTTTCAATATACTCAAGATTAATTCATTTACTATTTTCTATCTCCATCCCCATTAACATTCCTAATACCCCCAGTAAAAGTGGGAATGAATAAAAGAAAACTTTCTCACAGAGGACATTCACTCCTGTCAAACAGAGTTGTAACTAATACAAATAATGGCTGCAGTCCATTTAAGAGCACCAGGGCCCTGCTATCGTGCATATTGGCTCACTTGCAGGATTTACTGGCACACCTAAATGGAATTAAGCTGTCATTAATGTTATTAGTTGCACGTCAAAATGTCTGCTGTGAGAAATGTGTATGGAGAAATGTTCCCTCAGTCTCCACATGTTCCCAATCAAACCTCAAAAAAAGGACTTGACACAGTGCAGACAGCCATTACAAAGAAAAAGAATGGATAAAAAAATGAAAGAAACAATCACCTAACGGACATTACCCTTGTCTTGTTGTGGCTTTGAACAGCAGCAGATGCAAACTTAAAATGTTGACACACACTGCATCCGATTTCACAACAGACAACAAGGTGCAACCTGGTTCGGTCCTCTCTCTGTTTGAATACTCCTCAAATGCAATCTTGCTTTCTTGAGGTAATTTCTGATCAGACAATGACTGTACTGATGTCACCTGTGCAGAGGACACACTTACAGCTATTCACTCACATTTAAGTGGTTTAGTTTGAGTCTCTCTCACTTCCTCTCTCAGCACGGGTGAGTTTGAGGGCTGGAAATGTGTTGCTAGATCAGTGATTACATCAAGGAGTAAGTGACTGCAGGAGTATCCCAAACGTGGGCCACCGACCATGCATCATCATGGACTCAATGGCAATGCATCGCAACACCAAGCCATGGCACACGCACTCACCTATGGCGGGAGCTCTACTACAAATTTCCACCATCTGCTGCAGTTCCAATGAGAATGGAAAGGGCCAAGGCAAAGAGTGATGGACAGGTCATTTGCAGCTTGAACCCAGCAGAGACAGTGAGGCCGTTACAGACGGACAACCCGACCACTGGTTTGTACCGCTTCAAGTTAGAGCTTTTTCTGATTGTGGTCTCACCTCTGTATGTTCAAGACTGAGCTAATTTGGCACCCAATTTATCAAAACTCTTCTGAGAATGATGTTAGAAAACTTGTCGTGAGCTTCAGAAGATAATGTTTTGCAGTTACACATACTGTATGTCAAAGGGACAAGAACTATTGTTAGACAAAAAAAATGTATCTACTTACGAATTACAAAGTAAGGTAAGCAGAAGTACATGACATTTTTAAACTTTAAGTAAATTCTTATTTTATTGTTGGTAATTTTTATCAAATTTATTTCCACCTCAGCAGGATTATGGCTGAACTGACATGTTGTTAATACCTAGTTCATACTGGTGACAGATCTTGTAAAGATCCATAAATGGCTTAGAAAAAAAGGCAAATACCTCATCCTAAACAATTAACCTTCATGCTCCCCTCCTTGTTAAAGATGTTGGTGTTTTCAAAAAGCATTGGGATTGTATTAGTTTGGTTAGTGTGGCAGCAAGGTCAGTGCACAGGATCATAAATGAACAGAGAGATGAGCAACTTACACTTGGAGGGTAGTAGAAGGACTTTGTATTCTCCTCATACTGCTGGTCAAGTCGTTTGTCCTGCAAAAAGAAACACAAACACGACACAACTGTGAACCCTTGAAGTAAAAGAATTTAAATCATTACCTGCAGCTGGTGAAGATGAGATCTAACTTCAAACACAATGATAAAAATCAAAAAAGGGAGTAGTTCATGGCACATTGACGACACCAGGAACTAGTGAAAATTGGTGTCCAGCAGTTTCTTACCACACAGTGAACCAGGATACTGAGAGGAATCCAGAAGACGAGGGAAAACACCACGACTGAGCCCACTATGTTATCAGCCAAGAACTTCCCTGATGGAGAGGTAAGGTTGGTGATGATTGTACAGACATTGTACATTTGTACTTGACTCAGTTACGATGGCCATCAACAATAAAAACTATATCAAGACTAATTTCCAAAGGCTTTTGGAAATGTTACGTAATATTTCACATTGCCATGTTTGTTAAAAATTTGAAAGCAAAGTCTATTGGAACCAACTTACCAAACGTGTTAATGTCCAGTTTGTCAATAAAATCCCACAACCTCTCGATCACATCCTGCACCTGCTTCATGCACTTTCCCTGTTTAAACAAGAGAAGGTTGACACAGCCAAATAAGCAAAATCAATGAACTCATTGTAACATTCATACACTTTTGTAAGACCTGTCAGAGCTGGACTGTGCTAGGATCTACAAAAAGAAGACTAAATACAATTGATATATGATATGATCAGATGGTATCCTGTCTGTAGAACTGACGATATAAAACGTTTGGAGACTCACGCCCTCATCACAGAAGCCCACAGTGCACGGTTTTCCTTTGCGAAGGAAAAGGAAGCTGCCATTGGCCTGGATGAAGGGAGAGCAGGTGCCATCTTTTCTGCAGCACACTTTACAGGAGTCCTCAGTTTCTAGAAACAGGAGACAAGATTATTTCAAGTTTTATACCAATCCAAAAATATTTTGTCTATACCTTCCATTGTTTTCAACAGTGAATGTGCACATAATAACCTTCACTTTGTTTTTCAGGACAGCAATTATAAGATTCATTCAGACAAGACTCATTCATTCAGAGATTGCAAAGATTAACAGACTACGATGATAGCTGAGCCTATTTTTAACAAGCTATTGCCATCTGCAAAAGCACACATCTAATCTAACCTTTCCATGTGACAAAGAAGCAGCTGTTTTTGTTCAACAACAATATATTCATATAATGTAACGGTTTTATGAATGGGTTTTATAAGACCAGGGATTTAGGACCATTAAATCCTTGAGCTGATGAGTAAATATGAAAACAGTGTGGTGGTTTTCCATACACTAAAAAACTTATGTCACAGTGGGAGAATCTTAGTGTATTGTTTTTTTTGTGGGAAGAGAAGATTGATAATTTATTCCTCAAAATTATAAATAATAATAATAATGATAATAACAAATAAAAACCCTTTCCCATACATTTTTTTTATATACTGTATATGGTTTCCTCAAATTGTATCTCTGACTGTTGGGATATTTCTTCATGCTCCAGAACCTCAATGATCCCTGGGCATCGGCTATTTTAAACCTCAGATCGCCAGGATCCACAACATCATTTAGACAATCCACTTAAATCAGTTAAAGGCTCTTGCACATTTTGAGACAAATGAACACCTTTTACCATTGCAGGCACAGGACTGAAGGTTCTGCATGGCCTCACAGAAAGGGTTGCACTCTCCTTTGAGACACCGGCCGTTGTCCACGCATATAGTGTCGTCAGCTGCATTCGCAGGAGGTGGACATACACTGCTGTTGCCTAAGATGAGAATGAATTGTTAAGAGATAGAATTTTCACCTTATTTTTAATTTATCAATATAAAAAGGTGCCCAACTCCACAGCATACAGCCTTCCTTTGATTGCTGCAGTTCTTGTGTTTAACCAGCAGGTGGTGCTCACCTGTGCAGGAAGATATGCCTTTACAGGTAGCACTAATGGGTTCCTGACACCTGACTCCTGCGTGCTCAAACTTGCAGTTTCTACAGCAAGGGCTGTTTCTGTCACTGTGAAGAGAACAGAAACATCTATGTGACTTACTAGTAACAAAAATTTTCTCATTAATTATGTTATGATCAGTCAGTTAATGTTTGAGTATGTATTCAGACTTGATTGCTGTGTTAGACATTTTCTTTTGGACGATCGTTTGGATCTCATACCTGCACTGTGCACCAGATTTGAACTTGCAGTCAGATGAGCAGCAGAGGTCATCGTTGAGGTGGAGTAGCCCAGGGTCGCACTCTTCCCCATCCTCTACTCTGGAGTTCCCACATACCTTACTGTTTCTCTCCTTGAAGCACACTGGAGCCTTGGAACGTAATGTCTTTCCTATGGAGATCTTGCTGCAGTTGGAGAAACGCTTTAGGCGGGAAGGAGAAGTAGGCACAGGTTAGATATTAGCTAGGAGTAGATGCTTTCTGCTCAGCTGTGAAAGTTGATGTTGAGAATGATAACAGATATAAATCTCTCTTTAACAGCTCACATAAATAGCTGCATGGATAAAATGTACAGTGAAACAATGGCGTTTCTGCCTGCAAAGAGGTGGTTTCATTGTCTTTGTAGGAATTATTATTGATTCATACTGACAGGATTCAAGATCTAGTTTGCATATATATTTCAAGAGAGTCCAGTGTGTAGGACAAGTCACATCTGTTAATCAACAGCATTTTTCACCTTAAAAAGCTGCAGAAGTCAAATGCATATTATCTGTTAAGGCCAAAAGCGTAGGAGGTACATTTACTGTCTGTCATCATACTGAAAAGCAACTGTGACTCACATTTATTTAACACTCTGCAGAAGCATCTCATTTAGAAATGGCATTCACATCTCATATTGCACTTTGCATCATTAACTCAATGGGTCCTCTAAACTGAGGATACATTGACTTAACACACTAATACGTTTTAAATGGTGTTTTAAAATGAAAAACAATCTATGTCCAGACAAGCTTTTTAGCACCATATCAGATATAATGTCAGTCCATGCTAACACTAACGCCTACGCCTAGAACGCATATCACAAGACCATTCACGTACACTGGGCATGCCTGTGCCGGTGTAAACAGGAAGTAGGTTGTCTACTGCAGTTGGTTGCTTAGTTGCAGAAAAGTGATAGGAGCATGAGGAATCAGGGATAGATAGGTTGTGAATGATAAGACCCAATCAGGAAGCAAAATATGGGTGTCTGCGTCATTGTTTCAAGTCTAAATTTTTTCCGAACCAGACTAAAATGCAACCCCAAAGTTTTCAACCTAAAACTGTGCCAGCAGCATTTCTGAAAGTCTCCCTTTCAGGGGCTCAAAAACTCCAAAGTAGTGCATTTTAAAACTAAAAAGTATTAGTGTGGATGTAGCCTGACTGACAGCAATGACATTTTGTTACCTAGTTATGAGATAGTAATGCGTCTGTTGAATCACACTGCATGTTGAAGTTAAATACAATTTTTGACCTGTCTGTACCTTGTTGTTAACATGGTCTCCGCTCACAGCAATGGGGTACATGACAAACTTCCCCCCTTGGTCGTCACTTGGAGCACAATAAGGGATGTTGTCAGGGTCGTGCTCGGCTCCAAAGTTATGGCCCAGCTCATGAGTGGTCACCAAATCTGCTTCCTGATGAAGCACACCAGAGTAATTCATGATAAACATATTGTTTACAACTGGATCTACGGATCAATGAAGATGAAATAACACAAAACAAAAATTCTATCACTCAACATCGTCAGTCAGGACTGACTCAGGAGTTTTACTCAGTAGAAAGATGCTGGTGTTTTGCACACACAGTGATTTCACTGCAGGTATATTATAATACAGATTACATTATACAGCATAAAGCCCTAAATTCAAAAAAGTCCTCCTAGCTCAAATTAATGCTCTGAAATATTACTGTAAACTGTGGTGTGGAGCATGCAACACACAGATACTTGAGGTATGAAAAATGTAACAGGGTTAACATTATTACTCATAACACCCACACAAAAAGGTGCATCTGCTCTACTTACACTCTAAACTTGGCAGGTTGACAAGTTGAGTTGCATAACATCCTGGCTGAAACTCAGTGCCCTCAGTAATTAGTTTTGTCAAAGATAATGACTGAGAAATGGGGTAAAACAGACCTTTGTGAGGATGGTTTTGCCATAGTTCTTGGTGCTGGTCAAGCCTGTGTTGAGGTAACTGGGCTTCTTGGCAGAGTGATATGGGTAGTAAGCTACAAAATGACAGAATTAAAGAAAGATGTCAGTATTTTTTCGCCTTTACAAAAGCCCCCTGTTTAAACATGTAGCTTTCTCTTTAAATGTAATGGCCTTTGCTTGACTTCCCTGCCATTTCTGGCAATTCCAAGATCAGTGTTCTTAAGAATCTGCTCAACTACTTTCACTTTCCATGAATGTGGCAGATTTAATGTTGCAGAAACATAGATGGTCTCTAAAACATGGTACACAAGCAGCAAAACAGAACAAGGTGACTTTGTAAAATATTTCACTGATGTTGTAAAGTAGGTGGTGTATGACGTAGCTGTATATATAGCATGTACTACTTAACTTATGAAAACAAGGCCATTTTGCCGCTAAAGGCTGTGTCCTTACGTTTGGGGCAGAGGCCGCCCAGGGCCTGAGCTTTGGAGGGAGCCACGTACGCCAGCCCCAGTGTGCCCTCATCAAAATCCTGGTAGGTGAATAGGTGGGCCAGACACACAGTGGAGGCATTGCCGGCGATGTCTGAGCTGAATTGCTGAGGGACAAGACTAGAACTATTATCTACCAACATTTGTATCTGTCAAAATTAATTTTACTTATACAAGAAAACAGAAGTTATAGGGACGAGGACATATTTAGTTACATTTAGTTATTAAAGAATTCTGACCAAGATCTGTAGAGAATGAGACATTTTACATTTATTTATTACCTCCAACTCTCTAATATTTTTATACAATGGCATTTCTTATTACTTATCAGCCAACATACATGCACATCCAAATATATTTGTGATAAACTTGTATTGCCAGATTGTACAGAGCATTTCACACATTTCTGTGAACTCTTTTCATATTCTGAGCCAGATTAAATTACCCTACTGTATTTCCCAAACCTCTACTCCCTTCATGTACCTCACACTGTCTGTTTCTACCTTTCTCTGACTCTTTTACTCCTTTTCCTACCTCCAGAAGTCTCTTCACATCCCAGACCTCTTTTCCTTTCACAGGGCTGTCCTCCATGTTATAGTGGACCCAGTTGGTGCCAGCAAGTTCAGGGGGACACCTTGTAGGCTCCTTGTTGATGATGATCTGAGAATAGTAACCAAGGATGTTAATTCCTTATGTGTAATTATAGAATAATACAATTTTATTTAAAGGATTTAAACAAATTATCATTTGCGATATCTGTTGCAGTTGAAAAGATTTTAAAACACATAGAGGAAATGTATTTTTCAAATGACTGATGAATTACAGTAAACTATAACATAAGCTGTTAGAAGTGGCCTAAACACAAACCTATAGGAACAGCTTTAATACAGTGAGCATATTTAAAAAGGATCATGTGACTCAGTCAGTTAGTATCATCTTTTGGGGGCTTTCGTTTTAAGTCATAAAATTTTCCCAAAGATATTGGGGTTAAAAGAAGCACATAACAAGCTCTTCTTGACTTTAGGGTGAAGAAAATGGTAATATAATTCTGAGTAGCTAAATGAATGCATATCTTCTCAGTGAGGAAACCCGCGACTCATCGTATGACAAACAGTGTCTCTATTCATTCTCAAAGCCTGTGGAACAAATTAAATTACCCCACAAGGCACACACAAAAGCTTTCAGTTCCTCCTACAAATGCAGTTCTCAAACCCACTGAGGGATTGAGTTATTCTCAGCTTCACTTCCGGGAGTGACTCTATGTAAAACAAAGCCATCAGGCGGCTGGGAGCAGTGATGTCTGATGTTTCAGTGCTACAAACTGGTCCACGATTGAGACATCAACCATATTACAATGAAGTACAACACACAGACAGCCACACACACCTGATGGATCTGAACCCCATAGCCTTTGAATTCATCATCCCAGGTTGTGTTCCTATAAATGTCATCAACTCGATCAATCAGCTCAATCTGAAGTGAGGAAAAAAACAAAACAAATCACATACCAAGAATGCTTAATGCACAGAAATAAATGAATACTACAAAAATGTATTTGGACATAGCTTTTTTTCCACAGATATATTAAACATACTAACTATAGATTACAGATTTGTCAATTTGGCAATGTAAAACTAACGTGGAACTCATTCTGCTCCCTATGAATAAACCTTAATATGTCTTTAAGCTCTAATGAATGAGGTTTTGCACATAGGATCATAAAGACAGACCAGGTAGTTGAGAGTAACGCTCTCTTGTCCGCGGCCCATGTGTTTAAAGAACCGGTAATCAGCAACCAGCAGCAGGGGGCAGGTATTCTTCTTGTGGTCGTGGACATATCTTTTCTCTCTGTGATGGTACTCTACGAGGAAGAAGCAGCAGGAGCAGTTTTAGAGATAAACGTATAGGAAGGGATAAAGAAAGCAAAAATGGTCACAGGTAGGAAAACAGAGGAAAGAATTACTGTTTCGCAGTTGTATGCCTTCACCACTCGTTACACCACTAGTTTCAGGTTACATCCCTATTTATCCAGAATCATATAAAATATTAACCATTTGTCTGAAATTTTATTGCTGAGTGAATTCTTGAGTTAAAAAAAAACATGTTTTCTGCAGTCCCAGTGACCTTGACATTTGACCAACAAAATCTAATCAGTTTGTCCTTGAGTCCAAGTTGTGCCAAATTTGAAGACATTCCCTCTTGGTGTTACTGAGATACCACGTTCAGGAGAATGGGACAAATGGACGGACGGACAACTCGTAAAACATAATGCCTCCGGGCCTGTCTCTCACAGGAGCAAAGGCATAAAAAAAAAAAAAAAAGAGGAAACAATCACATGTTCTTAAGCATTGCCACATTAACAGTCAAGGGTAATCTTGCATAAAGACAGATAAATAAGGACATCAAGAAGTTAAAACAATGAGGCCATGCTCCAGTATCCCATTGTTAATTGCCCTCATTTTCACATTTAGCAACACGTCTTCTTTTTTGTTTGCCAATGAACTGATTAAGCGCCGCCTCTGTTCTTAAAACCAGAATTAAACTTCCATTTATCTTGAAAGAAGACGCCTGAGTGCATTATACTAAGTGTGAATAAGGTCCATTATATATTTCGACATCTAGATAAGGCAGTCACAGTAAACTAAAGCAGATTTCATACATAGACTGCACAGTGTTGTTAGGCTCAGTTAAACAGCTACAGCAGAGGATTTTGGGGTACACTCAATGGTCTTCCCTGCTATAAAAACAATTCTGTGTTAAAATTGTGACCTCATAACTTGACTCTTCCAAATAGATAAAGCAAAGCCCCTGAACATCTACAAGACTGAGCTTTTACTTTGGAAAGGTTAGGTTTAGTGCTGTAACCAACATGTATTTGAGCTGAAATTATTATCTGAATAAAAGATCAGTCAGTTCACATGAAACTAACTGGCAACTATTTTGATGATCAATTAATAATTTAAGTGAGTTTTGGAGTGCTGGTCCAAAGACAAAACAAGACATCTGAAGACACCTGGTTCCACAATTTTCTGACATTTTATAAGACAAACACTGAATTGATTGAGAAAATAATCAGCAGATTAATCAATAATGGAAATAATTTAAATTGTTAGTTGTAGCTCTAATTGCAGCATCACTGTGCCAACTCCAGAACAAGATGTTAAATGTATATAGTAATGTAATTTTACCACAAAATACAGTCTTGAATTCACCCAGGAATTCTGGAGAGATGCCTCAAAACTACATCCTAAACTCTTTGAACAGTCAGTAGCTGAAGAATAACAGAACAACAGAGCATTACATCATACTGTACAATTGGCTCTACACTGTTCAAAAGTGTGGGTGTGCACTGCTCTGGCTTCCACAACAAGCAGTGGGAGACCAATGACGACTCAGAGTCATCTGATTGGGCAGTGGAGCCTCCATGAATTTTAATGCCTCCTCCATAAGAACCTTCACCTCGCCTCATCTCCCCAACGAGTGCTTTCAACCAGAAGCCGGTGAGAGGTGTTTTAGATATCTCCTCTGGCACATTACCACTGTTATATGCTTTACATTTCCAACGCAGCACAAAAGAATCAAAAGACATTTGGTTTTTACATAATACCCACTTGTCAGTAGTGTGTATGTGCCTAACATAGGCTAGGTTTTACAGATAAAAAGGCTTTTATTAAAGTGACTGTAACAGAATCTAACACCCACCTCCTTCGTGTCACTACTACAGCCTCCTCCTTCCTTCTCTCCACCTTAAACATTTGTTATCCTCCTACTCTTTACCATCCACAAACAGGAGCACAGAGCCAAGGCTGCACGAGATTTGTGATCTCAAACCCTTACATATTTATACTACATTACCACTACATGGGTACAAATGTGAACACATTTGCAAGACACTCCACCCCTACCGAGGGAAACAGACAGAAGAGCTCACCCTTTTTCTGGTCCACCTCCTGCCCGTCCCTGTCCATCCTGGCAGTTTGTGGTAGCAGGTCCATGTCCTCTGCGTGGACGTAACCGCACACTTTTGGTGAGACGATGCGACTCAGATTCTTGATGTCGTCGGAGCGATAAACCAGCAACCTGCCATCAGCTGGGGAATCGGTAAACCTCCACAGGGGCTGCACAGCCAAAAACACAGAGGTGGTATTAGAGAGCAAGACAGAGGAGTCAGACAGGGTCACAAAGAGGAGAGAAGTTTAGAGAAAAAAAAACAAGAAGGCAACAAAAAGAGAGGAAAATATGGAAATAAAGATATAAATCAAAGATCAATGATATAGATCAAATTATTAAACAATTTAAAACAACAACAACAACAACAAAAACACACCAGTATATCCAAGATGACAGAGATATAAGAGATGAATACAAGGAATATAGAATTCACATGTATGAAATATACAACCCTGTGTAGTCCATTTTAAAATGCTCAGAAGTAATATGAAGTTAGTGTGGCCTCTCTACTGTCTATTGTGATTTTACAGCCGCTCCTTACCTCTACGTTGTACTCTGCTTCATCAGTTAGAATGTGAGCAGAAAACTCATCTCCATCTATGTGAGCCTGCACGCGTGAATTCTCCTCTCCTGCAAACACAAAGCAAAACACTTGCTATTATTAAAAGATTAACACATACAGAGTAAATCCTGCAATCTATCAAGTAAAGCTGCACAAATGGATTAACATACTATCATCACAGCTAGTATCATCTTAACAAAGCAAGATTATCATTAGCTCAACATTGCAGATATTCAGCAAATAGTGCTTATTATTTCATTAAAATTCATCAGATAAAGGTCTTATAAATCAATCACTTGTTTTGCACATGCAAGCTAAGACTCTTGGAAAATTAAAATACGCAATCAGGGAATTTACTATATGTTTAAAAAAAATTGGTGAATACTTAATTGTGCATGTCATCCACTCACCGACAACATGTCCAGTGAAATAGTTTTGAAGCTGAATATCATAGTTCTCCTCTCTCCCATGTTTATCAAGAAACACAGCTTTGAAGTTGTCAGTGAAAAGGTCTGTGTTGGTGGTCAAGTAAAGCTTGAAATGCCTGAAATCAGAAAAAGAAGATGAAAACATGACACACGGCTTTATAATACTATAAAAAGTCACACTGGATTTAGTGTTGGGCCATATTTATTGTAATTTATTAATATAATATTAAGTGAGAAAATACTTATCACTTAATGTGATTACGTTTTAGACATTTATCGTTCACATTTTTTTTAAGCTATCTTAATACAATACAAGCATGCCCGTATGTACAGTATGTTGACAGATGTCAGCCTGCTTGCTGTAATTGTTGACTAGATGTGAAGTGTTAGTGTGACTACAATGTAAAGGATGGGGGTCAACATCTACAGTCTTAGTACAGTGCAAATATACAAAGAAAGATTAATATGACTCTTCACCCCCCCCCAAATTAATACATTTTGAGTCTGTCTTTTAAAATCAGAGGCTATCATGCAACATTATTCCAAAGACCACAACAATTGTAGTTCGAGACAGACTTAAATCAGACGTATGGGTAGTGCTGATGTACCTGTGTAGTGCTCTGAAGCTGACCAGGCGCTCCAGGTGGGACTGGGTGTGGACGTCCCTCTTCCTAACAGAATGCAGCTTGAGGTCTGCCAATGGCAGCACCTCAAAGTCCGACAGGACGGAGTTCAGGGCATCTGGAAGACACACACGATAATTTTGATCACCAGAATGTCACTGTCACAGACCACAATCCGGCGCTGACAACCCACCTCCTCACCTGAGGATATGGTTTTATTTAGCAGCTAGCCTGGACTGAATGACCGAAGATTTAATTACACCTTAGACAAACAGCGGTATTGATTATCACAGTAAATAAAAGGTACCATAAGTGATAAGTGATTATAATTTATAGTAATTATCGTTTACGCTCATTATTCCAATGACAGTTAGCATTTACATTAAAGCTAACATTAGCTTAGGTTAGCTTGCTAAGTTACTTACCGAACTCAGGGTTTTCTTCGTGACTCTCCTCAGTAGTAACTCTTGACTTAATAGCACCGTTGACCCAACAAGGAGCCAGAAAGGCAATTATCAGTATATTCCTCATTTTCAGGCAGCTCAGACAGCTATTCTACTACTGTCATAGTCCCAAGTTTTCTGTTAGTCTAGACCGCTAACGTTAGCTGCGCTATCCGGAAGTGTAGAGTGGAAAACATCCGCTTTTAGAATAGTGGACAATGTTAAGTTACGAATTTGTCTGGCCTTCAAAGATAAAAGTGCAATTATTATCAAACGTTGCTTAAGTGAACAAAGCATACTAAAAGTACTCATTAGGCAGAAGAAGGATGCCTGTCAGATTATTATATTATTGGAATTATTATTTCCAAAGCATTAATGTGATTTAAGCAGTAAAAGAGTTTAATATGTAGAAGTACTATATTTTCCTACTCTATCAAGTCATAGTATCATAAAATAGAAGTACTCAAGTAAATAACTATAATAACAAATAGACTATGGTGCTTCTGTGGCCCTTTGATTTTAAATTTTATGACTTGAGTATGGACAAAGTACAGGCAGTTTCGTCTGTAATAATACATTGTATTTTATACACTCACCATCTTTTGTATAGTTATAAATTAAGCACATTATTTTAACGTAGAGGTGAAGTATAAATTAATAAAATGAAAATAGAGGTATCAGTTGAAGTACACCACTTGAATCAATGCATTTACTTCTTCCCACCATTGATTTATGACATTAATCTTTAACACAAAGATAATGATGCAGTCAACATGTTTATAGCTTTCCCCTTATCTATTTTTTCCTTTTTTTACCTTCAAATAACAGGACTACTGCTCTCAACTGTTCATTTGTGACAGTAGTAAATTCAGTAAATTTCCCCACAGAAACATGGCAGACTCATGACAGTTTAGTGGTATGATATGAACCAAATCATTAAAATAAAGTGAATTTCCGTTTGTTTTCTTTAAAGAATGGAGTTAAATTTCAAAATAAAATAAACTAAATTCCTGTTTTAGGTTGTGAGAGCCATTAAGCTATCAAGTATGGCATTTTGCTACAGGACATTTACAAATATCCAAGCACATTTATTATGCAAGTAAAATAACACACAAACTTGGACTTGGTTTATAAAATGTTTTATTCATGTTAACATAGCTGATACATAGGGTTTCAAACATTTCCACAAGGCTTTTGGGGACTACAATTGAATGAATAGCAAAACAATAGTGGTCCAAATCTCTAATGACAATCACTGGACAGACTAACAAATCACCCTCTTGTAGGATGTGTACAAACCTGCATTGAAAATTACTAGACTTGACACTTGGACTTGTGTGTGTTACAGCAATTGTTCCCATTCCAGTGTAATATCTCAAGAGACATGCATGACAGAATTGTCTTCTTCCCATTAAAAAGGTCCCTGCATTTGGTCAGACAAACAAGCACCACCATTTCCCCCCACAGACAGACATGCTTCAGTGATAGAGTGGCATCATAACCAGGGCAGAAAGTGAGGATTTCACCAATGGGCATTACTTAGCTGTATTATAATATTTGTTGCCAGCATGTAAAGTACACTGGCTTTCCCTGCAGTATGAAAATTAGTTTGAAGTTGGACTTCAGCTGCTGTAACCGTACCACGTAACTGTAGAGACAGACACACTAAAAAGAAAAGGTATGGGGAAAAACTACTTTTATATCTAACATTTCTTATTGGGAAAAAAATCCAAAATCTCTCAATGAATGGGATTTAGGCTTACAGTTGTTTAATGATGGGACTTAATTTTTTCTGCCTCTAAATTGAGTTAGGAGTCCGATACCATTGTCAAGCTATCAATCACTTTTCTACAGCTGAAACTGCACACATGGGAAGGCCAGGACAAACACAAACCAGAAGAATGGAGGGTTTCTCTTTTCACCAGTTGTCCAAATCTGCATTGTGAAAAGAATGATTATTTTTTTTATTTATTTCCTTACACAACTCTTTTCAGCAATGGGTTTCATTGGTAGAATGTTTGAGTGGAGCAATAAGGAATGAAGGATGTGTAAAAAGTTTTTTTTTTCCTTTTGTTGTTTTTGGAGATGACCCAAACATTGAGGGCTTGTATGTTTTAGTTCTCATTCTCGCCACCCTCTCCTCCTTCTCCGCCTTCGCCCTCCTCAGGAGCGTTGTCCGATGTCCATAACTGGGGAGAGAAACAAAGATATTTGGAATACAGTCAAATATACATACTCCACTGCCATTTCTGAATTTGATGCGTCTATTGGTGTATGCACAATCCCATAATGACAGTAAAAACTTGATCAGCAATTTGTGTAAATTCACAGAGAAAGACAATTTGAGCTCTCATACATGCATGTATTCAAAAACCTTATGCAGTACTTTGTAGAGACACTAACTGGGATTGATTACACATTTGAGACTTATTAGAAATGTCTCTGAACATCTGTACATGTCTCTGCCTTTTGGACAGCTTCTCTGGAGGCTCACGGAATTTCTTCAGATATCTAAATTTTGGCCTAGTCATCATTCTCTGGACAATCCGTAAACACATTTGTAATCCCCTTTCCGACGGTGAGGAGATGGGTGTAACAACCTATGATTTTACGTGACTTTCTTGCAAAGAGTCAATCTGACAAACACGGCAATGTACTCCGATCACTTTCTGTCTATACAACCAAGTGCAACATTATGTCTGTGCTGCAGTGTATATGTTGTGGCTACCGCGGTCTGCCACAGCCAATCTGCTCTATATGTCAGTGTCTACTATTTTAAATCTTTCAACATAATTTTATTATCTTCTTCTTAAGGTCATTTCACAACACTATACAAACCAAGGCTAGTTTCAATAGAAGCAAGAGCAAAAATAATTGGTCTGCTGAAGCACAGGTTACTTGGAAAACTTAAACTGTTTCAGTGGACACTGGACTTGCCATAATATGACATGGGGCAAATCTTGTTCCAAATGCCTTCTTATGCACAATCCATACTTTGTGTGGTCTTTTCAAAGCTTTAGCATATAATATCCACGTGTAACCTGCAAATAAGATGTAGCATGGGCATCCCTCCATGAAAGACAACATACTACTGTAGCCTCTTATACCTACAATCATACATGATCTGCTGATTTTAATAAAATGTTTAAAACTGACGGTCTGAAAATGTGTACTTTAACCCCCATGTTGTCATTTGAAACGCACTTTTGCTTTAAGACAGCACTGAGCATCATGTTGTATGACTGCTTAAAGCACCCTGAGACTTAAAGACGGACATTGAAACACGCAAAACACTACTGCTCCACAGTAATGATAATTTCTGTGCCATGTGAGAGCAGAACACTCACTGTCAGGTTGTCTCTGAGGAGCTGCATGATAAGAGTGCTATCTTTGTAGGACTCCTCATTTAGCTGGTCGAGCTCTGCAATGGCATCATCGAATGCCTGTAATCAAGAAAAGGAAAATGTTAACACTTGGAGCACACTACAGACAACCGAGGGTGAGTGACAGATTTCTATAAGAAAAGTATGCAGACCTTTTTGGCCAGCTCGCAGGCTTTTTCTGGGGAGTTGAGGATCTCATAGTAGAAGACAGAGAAGTTAAGTGCCAAGCCCAAGCGGATGGGATGTGTGGGGTCCATCTCAGTCTTGCTGATGTCAAACGCTTCCTGGTATGCTTGCTGTGAGTTTTCAATGGTCTCTGTAAAAAGGGGAGGGAATCAAAAAGATTATAATAGTCAATGTATGTTTTAGTTAAGGTTTACATAGAAGTCCACTTATGGAAATATTTTAAACCTGTTACCACACACACACACACACACACACACACACACACACACGTGTAACATGTTATGTTAAATAATGACAAAAATGGACAAAAATAAAACATTTTGCCTCATTTAGACAAATATCAGCTGAGACCAATAGTTCAACCGCACAAAAACCCATGCGTAAAAATGACAAATTTGTGGTTTTAAGGATGTTATGTACAAGACTATTCTAGACTAACTGTTGTTGCAACGATTGCAAAGAAATCATCACGGAATTCAAGAGGTATACTGCTCCAGGCCAAGAAATAACTGCCAGTAAAACAAATTGTCAGTTCAGTTTTTGAATGAAGCGAGATACGTGTTAAATAGTGAGCTTTAGAGGCTATTCTAAGCTATTCTAATGAGTGGCAGGCTCAAGCATTGCATTTACTGCACATTTTATTGCACATTTGTAATAGTGCGATCAATCTTCTCCCAACTCTCTTTCTCTTTATTTAGTCTTTTTTGAAGTAGAACACTGAAAACATTTAATAACAACTGTCAGCCAATATTATAATTAGCAGAAATACCCTAACTGAACAGAGAGCAGGAAATTTTGGATTTACCTGGAATAAACAAAAGAGCATTGAAGGCTGGTGGCTAAAAAATTCTGTAACTATATATTTTTCCCTGTGGGAAAGCTGCCACCCACTCCTGTTATGCCCTCCTATAAGAGAGGACACTGTGGTCACACGACCGTGACACATCGACCCATTTGACGTCATTTCCAGCTCTTAGCTCCAAGACAAAATCTGACACATTCCTATTTGGAGTGTGAAGGGGCCCAGATTCAAAAAGACAGAGGGGGGCTTATTTTAGCTTTTTCATACAAATGAAAAAGACGCTTGGACACCTTAAAGACTCCCCACTACACAGTGCTCACAAAGAGAGGCAAAGCAGTGAGAACGAAAGAAAAGAACAAAAGAAAAAAAGACTAACTGAAAACTTAAAATGTTAATGTCTTTCCAAAAAAAGTAAATGGAGCACTAATGTCAACTCACTTGATTTGTCGTCTCCAGAGGCAACTTCAGCAAGGTATCTATAGTAGTCCCCCTTCATCTTTAGATAGAAGACTTTGCTCTCGGGATTTGTGGAGTTTCCAATTAAATAATTATCCAGCAGTTTCTGTAAAGACAAAAATGTCAGAGAAATTTAAATTAGGTGAACAGAGGAAATATATTGAACAGGAAGACTTTTCAGAACTAACATCTCAACCACAAGCACACCACGACATCCAACTGACAGATCAAGAGCCAGGACTGAAGGGTGATAATGACATCACTCACCAAAACAACTGCAGTCACCCTATGTTTCCTGAATAGTCACTAACTGCACTAATTTGGGCACAAATTACAATGAAGA